TTACTTCAGAGGATATCCTAAGATATGGGCTTTTATCCACTGATATCCTTCATTTACCCGGCTTGATTTGGGACTTCCAGGATATCATGGGCCTGCCAGATAACTATTTTAATCACCTTTTTCCCATGATTTTTTTGTCCACACACAGTTGGGTTGATATTTTATCCTTGCTAGTGGGCCACTTAAAATTACCATCTTGTCCCTAACTTCCACTTATTTCTTCCCAAATATCCTCCAACCTTTACATATTTACCAATCCTGCCACCATAAATACAAGATAAAGATTATTTTCTACCATCATTTTCTTCTCTATTAAGTTAATTACAAAAATAAGACATGATAAGAAAAAATTACACATTAATCAACTCGTATATGGATACAAGATTTAGAGCATTTGACAAAATACAAAATATGAATTGTTATTTTTTTTTTTCTCTACGACCACGTAAAAAAAATTATTATTTGACATATTTTTATTAATTTACTAATTGTGGCAATGTGTTCTTTTTTTTTTTTTTTNNTTTTTGGCTTGGTAACTGAGATTTTTTTGTTAAATTTCAACTTATTAAGTTTCGTAGATTGGAATTTTTATAAAATCTCTGTTTTCGATTCAATTCTGAAATGCTCACCCCCTAATGTTTTGATTCAAGCACTATCCATATCCAGATGTACTGTATATTCCAATTTTGCATAATATCTTACACTTTTCTTTTTAAAATATATATTTTTCAATTATTATTATTATTTAAGCATTTTTGTGTTTACGTACTGTTTAGAAAAATGTGCATATATGTTTTTGGGGGAGTGAGTGGTCACTCTTCTATTTTATTGGATACAAAAACACACAAGTTTAAATAATCACACACTTTTTTAATGCTCTATCATAGATTGTAAACATAGGATACCTTTTTTTTTGTTGAACAGTAACGGGTTGTGGATAAAATAATCTAGAAACTAGATTATCTAGAAAGTAAACGAAGCCCTAAGGTTGAACGGATTGATATTTTTTTATTTTTTTTTTTTCTTGCTTGGCATATCTAGTGGTTGAACTATCTATCCTGGTATCCTGAATCATTTATTGTTAGTCCCTGCTCGTTCACTGCTCAGGTAAGCAAAAAATGCTTCCGGTACAAACGAACACTTTTAGGATGAAAGAAGAAGATTGTGAACAACTCAATGTATTGAGTATTAAGCTTTTCTGTGTATTTTTACAAATGAAAAACTACATCCCTATTTATAGGAACTAAAAGCTACTATTCAACACTTTCCTAGAAATTACTAAAGCTGAAAATTCAGCCTAAAGGGGCTACTATGAAGGTCCTTTGCAGCTGCAAGGAAGCTACAAATAAAATGCAATGAAAGTGTAATGAAAGTGCAAGGAAGTTGCAATTCACTAACAAGGAAACTGCAGGATTATATCTTACAATACTTCCCCTAATCTGGCTTGTTTCCTATCATTCCAATCTTGGTCCTCAGCTCCATGAACCGAAGACGGCCGAGTGGTTTGGTAAGGATGTCTGCGAGCTGCAGTCCGGATTCGACAAACTCCAAAAAAATCTGTCCTCCATCGACACAATCACGGATGAAGTGAAAACGGGTATCGATGTGCTTACTCCGGTCATGGAGGACTGGATTTTTTGCAAGGGCAATGGCGGGCTGGTTGTCCACCATCAGAGTTGGTGCACGAGCTTCCTCGCCGGTCAGTTCGCCCAGCAACCGACGCAGCCAGACCGCCTGGCATGCCGCTATGGCTGCCGCCACGTACTCTGCCTCGCACGTAGACAACGCTACAATCTTCTGTTTCAGCGACTGCCATGAGATTGGGGCCGATCCAAGGAAGACGAGCACACCGGAGGTGCTCTTCCGCCCATCAATGTCG